GTCATAGGTAGCTCAGTATGGATTTCAAGAGAAAAGAAAGCATTTGAAGACAGGAGTGCAACATAGTGCCTCATAGATCTTTTCAAGTGTTACATTATTTTAATGGAATCTTGGAGTGAGAACTTTAGCCCATTGTAAAGATAGAGAACAGGTTCTTCTATCACTAGCTGAAGCTGCGTGGATGAAATGATAACAATAGAGTGTCCTGGTACATTTTATAAGTGTGAGAAATGAGTTTGTCTAGACTGAAAGGATGTCTCCAGGCACTAGGAAGTTTAGAGCTTCTGTGCCCATTAGGTGTCAAGAATGTGAGAGATGCCAAGCCTTTTTCTTCACTGTCTTTGGCAGCAGCTCAGCTGGTCTGTGGTATATTACATGTCTTCTGCAGGCAAAGACAGTTATTCTATGTCAGGACAAGTTAGGCTTCAAAATACAGAAACTCCAGGGCTGGAGAGATGGCTCAGTGGTTAAGAGCACTGACTGCTCTTGCAGAGGACCCGGGTACAATTCCCAGCATCCACATGGCAGCTACAAACCGTCCTTAACTCCAGTTCCAGGGGAACCCAATACCCTTCTGACTTGTGGCACTGCACAACACGGGTGCTTTCACATACATGCAGGCAATATACTCATACACATAAAATTAAAAAAATAAATAAAATATATTAAACAAAATAAACTCCTTTGCTTGAATTTCAGCTTTAAATTGGGGGCATATATCGATAAATAAGTGCCAAACTTTGAGAAGATATGAAACATTGATAGTTACGAGTTTAGATAAAAAGAGCTTAGCAACATTTTATAACCACTTATTTTAAAGACACTTTCCATCCTAAAACTGATTCTATCCTTTTCTACTTTATAATATATACTAAAATTTAAAAATACAATTTCAATTTTATATAGCTTTACTGATTTATATTTTATCATGTATTCATCATAATATAGATGTTAAAAAAGTAAATACGTCCTCTAAATCTCATTTCTGGGTGACAAGTATTAAGAATTTAATGTTTCCTTTCATACAATTAAAGAGTCAAAAATCATAGCTTCATTTATTAGGAACTTTGTGCAGACTAGAAAGATTGATGTGGAATTTGGAGAAGATGCCCCACCCCTTGATTTTGTAGTATACTTATAATAAGTGTTTATACTTTGCTTCTGTTATACTGAGGAAATGAGACATTCATCTAAAAATATAAAATATTAAATGATAAACCAAATAGCAGATTGTAAAGGAAAAAATAAACACTGAGGACCTCCCAAAGAGCTGAGTCATTTTAAGCTCTTGAGTAGAGGACTGTGCTTTAGAAAGTCCATCATTAAAATGTCACACTGAGGCTGGAAATATAGCACAGTGGTAGAGTCCTTGCCTAGCATAGATGAGGCCCTAAGTTCAATTCCCAACTTCGTCAAAAAGAAGAAAGGGAGTTTGTGTGTGTGTGTGTGTGTGTGTGTGTGTGTTGCTGGGGATTTAATTCAGGCCTTGTACAAGCTTAGCAAACACCCTGTCATGTCCCCTCACCCATTTCCTCCACCCAGAATAATAATATTTCAAATTTTATTTAAAGTTCAATCTGACAATCAAAAATTACCTATTAGTGCAGGCAAGATGGCTTAGTCCGATAGAGGAGCATGACCTGGGCCGAATGTCCTGCCTTCAGTCACCAGATCTCACAAGATGGAAGGCAAGCAACAATGCCTGAGAGTTGTCCTCTGACACATGCACACATACAATAAGTAAATAAAAAATAATTTTTTAAAAATTACCAATGGGTGGAGAGATGACCCAGTGGTTCAGAGCACTGGCTGCTCTTACAAAAGACTCAAGTTCGAATCCCAGCACCCACATGGTGGCTAAAACCTGTCCATAACTACAGTTCCAGGAGATCCAACGCCCTCTTCTGACCTCCACAGGCATTGCACAACATGCGTGCACTTCCATACATGAACACAATACACTCATACACATAAAATAAAAGTAATAAATAAAATATTTAAATTAGCAACTAAAATTTATGTTCATACTTTAAGAGTTTTTGTACCAATTGTACTTTGTTGTTTTCTCTTTCTCCTGATGTGAAGCAATTTGTTTCACGTTCTCTAGATGTAAGAAAACAGTCAGTGAGTGTTAGAAATGAATATTGGACTGAGGAGATGGTTCAATGGATAAAGTACTTATAGCCCAATCATGAAAATCAGTGTTCAGATCCCCGCCACACACTTAAAACCTAGGTGGCCATAGCCTCCTGCCTATAATCCCAGGGCTAGAGGAACACAGGACACCCCAAGGCAAGCTAACTAGCTAGCAAGACTAGCTGAATCAGCAAGTTCCAAGTTCACTGATTGACTCCTCTGTCTCAGTAAATAAAATGGAGAGCAATTGAAAAAGACAACTGGTATCCCGACGTGGTAGTGCTCACCTTTAATCCTTTAATCCAGGGAGGCAGAGGCAGGCAGATCTCTGAGTTCAAGGCCAGCCTGGACTACATAGGGAGTTCCAGACCAACTTGGGCTACAGGGAGACTTTCTCAAAAAGACCATAAAAAGAGACGACAACCTGCATCAACCTCCATTCTCCATCCATCTACATGCATACCCACACATGCATGTACGCCACATGAGTTTATAATGCATATTTTTTTAATCTTTAAATTATCTATATGTGTGTATTTGTAGGGTGGCAAGGGGTGCACATGAGTGCAGGTGCCCATGGAGACCAGTGTCATCAGATTCTTCTGGACCTGGTGTCAGTGAGAATTGTGAGCTGCCCAATGTAGGTGCTGGGAGTTCTCTGCAGGAGCATCTCTCCAGTTCAAGATTATAAATATTTTTAGGGATCCTTTTGATAGTTTCTCTAAACAGATAAGCTATAACAAGGTAACCATGCCTAATGGTACAAGTAGAAAGATACTGTGTTCAGCAAAGAATTGGTTGCTCACTGAAATAACTTTTTAAAAGTGTTATTTTAATCTTGTTAGTGTAGAATTTCATCAGCTCAGCGTTTGTTTCCCTGGTGCCTATTACAGCACTATGTACATGTGCTGATTATTTGGTTCTTATCACTGATAGACAAACTACAGATAAACAGCCTCCATTAGAGGACATGTGATATTGAAATGAAGACTAGCAAAATAGGTTAAGTTTTCTAGTTTTTACAGTTTTCGTATAATCATTTCATTCTCTTTCTTGGTTTTAAGTAGCTGTTCAAATATTAGCTTGTAAACTTTTTTCCCCTTTTAGTAGTGCTGGAGATGGAACCAGGGCCTCAGCCTCACACATGGGAGGCAAGTGCTGTACTACTAAGCCATATCCCTGTCCCTAATGATTTTTAAATATTTTATTTAGACAAATGATAATTGTTTTGAAAGTGAGAAAATGACTCAGTTGGTAAAATGCTTGCCACACAAGCATGCGGGTCCCAGAAACCACGTAAAAACCAGGTGCAACAGCTCACCTGTCATTCCAGTGCTGGGAAGGTTGAGGCAGAAGGATCTCTGGGACTCACTGGCCAGCCAGTCTAGACAATGGATGGGCTCAAGATTCAGTACGAGACCCTTGTCTCAAACGATAAGATGAAGCTACTGAGGAAGAAGACATCCGATATAGGCATCTAGCCTCTACTCTTCTACATGAATACACACAAGCACAAAGTAAGAATGATATGGTTGACCCTAATATGATTCTAATATTTTAATAGCATAAAATATTACTAATTGTAGATTTTAAACTCTGAATTATTTTATTATTTTGAGCCCTGGCTGCTACTGTGTTTGATAAATGTGTATAATGTGCAACTTCAAAATTCTATACATTCCCCAGTTGAGCATTTGTTTCTGGATAAAAGTTTATGTAGAAAGTGAGAATTGTTAATCTCATTAGTAAAAGAATTTAAGAATGGACTCAAAGGAAACTCAGGACAACTTGATTGGGGTTTAAAAGAAAAAGCCCAGTTCAGGTAAGTTTTAATCTTAGCATTTGCCCAGAGGACAGGGGGATAAGCAGCCGCATTGCAGGGAGGGGAGCTTTAGAGAAAGAGTGAAAAAGCCCAAAGTACCAGAGAAAACATACTTAGACTCTGACCAGCATCCGAAAGAGACAGAACAGAAGAAAAAGGGCAAGTTACACCTTTCTGAGTCAGACTCATTTAGGTGGACAAACCCAATAAAATCTCATGGCAGCTACTAAGAACGATACTGGGGGTGGGAATTCTGGGAAGAAAAAGTACATTATCTCATTAAATGGCAAATTGTTCCTCCATTCTCTTTATCTTGGCTTGAGGTAAAGTTGGGGTGGGGGGGGCTGCCATTCTGAGGGCTGCCCTTGACCAGGTAATTGGTGATGACTCTGGATTCATTCTTAATGAAGGAGACAATGGTGTATCTCTACCCAGAAGTTGATTATATTCTTTTGACTAGGAGGAAACAGCTTTCTTTGAATGGGCTTTCTATGCTATTGTAACATAATCAATTATCCCTGTTCACAAAGTAAGAGTATATCACTATAGGTTTTCATTAAAACGCTCTTCAGAAATTACCATGATGGCCCCAGAGATGGAAGCAGGAGGATCAGATCATAAGTTCAAGGTCATCCTTATAGCAAGATCAAGGCCAGCTTTGGGGGTGGGAAGCAAACATAAGACCCTGTCTCAAAAAAAAAGCAAGGAAAAAAGGAAAAGAGAAAGAAAAAGAGTTAAAAAGAGTTGCCGTGCTGATTTGTATTTCAGTAATTGAGCACTTGCCTGGCTGTACACGGGAGGAATAAATTTTTTTAGAGCTTTTCCCACTGTGCCCCCAAACCACTTCTCAAATTTAGCATTTATAGATATCGCAATAGAAATTTATACAATGAAATACCATGATAGTAGTAAAATAGGCCAGAATGCATATCCCAATGAATAAAAAATTCAGAACAGAAATGCATTAATACAGGAAATAACAAAAGAACATCAGTTGATATGTAGGATGTTGAAAAATGTTTATTTGCTTGTTTTTCTTCAGGATGTCACTACATTAACTGGAGTTCCAGAAGAGCATATCAAAACCAGGAAGGTCAGGATCTTTGTTCCTGCTCGCAACAACATGCAGTCTGGAGTAAACAACACAAAAAAATGGAAGATGGACTTTGATACCAAGGAGAGATGGGAAAACCCTTTGATGGGTTGGACATCAACGTGAGTACTTTGATTTAACACAAATACTGTTTTTATCTTTTTCTACATAGATTTTTCTGTTGAAAATACTGATTTTTCAACTTCTTAGAACTGATATGCTCATGAAAATACTTTTTGACACAGGTGTCACAATAATAAAAAACACACATACATATATATGTATATGTACACAGAGAAACACATTCATACGTGTGTGGCTCAGAATAATAAACCATAGAAGTACTATTCTAAATACTATTGATAAAATTATAAGCATTGGTAATATAGTATTCAAACTATATATTAGTCTAAGATATTCTGAGAATGATAATTTACTAACACTAATTTTTTACTTGATTTGGTTTTGGGTTTTTAAAAATTATTTTATGTGTATGAGTGTATTGCCTGCATTTTTGTAAGTGCATCCATGTTGCGCAATGCTCAGTGAGGTCAGAAGAGGGCATCAGATCCCCTGGAACTGGAGTTACAGACAGTTGTTAGCCACCATATGGGTGCTGGGAACTGAACCTGGGTTCTCTGTAAGAGCAACCTTAACCACTGAGCCATCTCTCCAGGCCAGTTTTTGTTTTTTTGAGACAAGATCTCACTATGGAGCTCTGGCCAGCCTAGAACTTGCTGTGTAGACCAGGTAGGCCTCAAAGTTGCAGCAGTGTAGGGCAGGCATGTTAGTGCATGCCTTTTATCTCAGCACTCAGGAAGCAGAGACAGGCAGATCTCTCTGAGCTCAAGGCCAGCTTGGTCTACATAGTGAGTTCCAAGCTAGCTAGAACCACTTAGGGAAACGTTCTCTCAAAAAAAAAAGAATTAAAAATTTACATCTCAAATAAATTAATGGTTTCACCATATTTTGGGTTCTTAATCTACCTATATTTTATTTTATCATTAGATATGTAATATTAGTTTGCTGTATAGGGAAAGTATTTAAAACATAGCTAGATACATTTGTGTAGATTTACAATTGTGTGTTCATTTGTAGTGCTGGGAATCAAGCCCAGGGCTTTATGCATGCCAGGCAAATATTCTACCACTGATCCATATCCTCAGTTTATAATTTCTCTTTTTTTAATATTTTATTTATTACTTTTATTTTATGTGTATGAGTGTATTGCCTGCATGTATGTGAGTGCACCTGTGTCATGCAATGCTGCGGAAGTCAGAAGAGGGCTTTGGATTCCCCTGGAACTGGAATTTAGGACGATTCAAAGCCGCCATGCGGATGCTGGGAATTGAACCCGGGTCCTCTGCAAGAGCAGTCAGTGCTCTTAATCGCTGTGCCATCTCTCTAGCCCTTATAATTTTTTTTAACAAGAGAACTACTTTATCTAGTGGGAAAAGGGAGAATGTTAATTTAATCCAATTTTTTACTGTTGGTCAAAGAAATGATTCTTGGATATGCTGAAAGAAAAATGACTACCCATCTTACACTTAAAATATATTTGCTTCCCAAAGACCCAAAGTGTCCTGATGTATGGGAGCTAAGACTTGATACTCATTTTTTCTGGTAGATTACCTCTGGTTAGAATCTACCATATGGATGGAATGATGTGGAGGATTTAACAGACACCTAATCCAATGGTGAAGGAGTATCACAGCATAGTAAACATGACAAGTACAACACCTGGAAAGACAGCATTTGTATATGTTGGAGGTTTTTTCAGACTTACCATTAATACACAGAGAAAAAGGACACTTACTCCTAGAGTGGAGGTAGTGCTCAGAATAGAAAATGTAGTTTGGAGCTACTCTAGTAATTTTGTGACAGAGTTTGATCTCAGATATTTTTCCAAGCTGTTTCAGTGGAGGCAGAAGGGAGGCGTTGCTGTAGAAGTAGACTTCGTGACTATTGAACATGAATTTCATTGTTGCCTATTTATCTACAGTATTTTTTTTTCTAATTTTGAAAGGCCACTTTTGTTCACTTGCAGGATTTTAAGATAAGTGTTCTTGATCTTTGTTTTTAGATTTTTAAATTCACATTTTTAAATACTGTATTGACATTTCTTACCTGAGGTGCAAGTTTCTTATGCTCTTTTAATTATGGGAGTCTTTAAATGTTAGAACTCAAAGGTAAAAGGTTTATCTTTATGTAAACTTGAAAAATATTAGAAGATGCAAAATCATCCTTGAGTTTGACCTAAGGTTTTTACTGCATAAATCCCCTTAATCCAATAGGATGGCACGTGGGTGCTGGAACGATTCATTCATTGTCATTTAAGGTTGTAGCTAGCTGATAGTTATTATTGATCTCATTTCTTTCTTTCTCTCCCTCTCTTCCTTCCTTCCTTCCTTCCTTCCTTCCCTCTCTGTGTGTGTGTGTGTGTGTGTGCGCGTGCGTGCGTGCGTGTGTGTGTGTGTGTGTGTGTGTGTGTGTGTGTGTGTGTGTGGCGCACGCACCACAGCACACAAGTGGAGGTCAAAGGAAGACTTTCGGGAGTTTGTTTTTCTCCTTCCACTTTATGGGTTCCAGGGATGGAACTCAGGTTATCTGACTTGGTAGCAAGCATCTTACTCACTGAACCAACTTACCAGCCCAATTTCATGTATTTCTTAACAATTTTTTGTTAGGCTGGAAAGTCTCACTTCACTTCTATAAGTAGGCCTTTAATTTTCAATAAAATGTAAAGGTAAGTTTTTATGGTTTTCTTCAATTATGTTAATATACATTGGCCATTGGATCAGAAGGCTATTAGACTCAATATTTTCTATTATTTCATCATAGTCTAAAATGCAACTTCCATATCTAATATAAAAATAGTTTTTTCCATTAGAGAATTATCTATTATTTAGTTTCTGGAAGTAAGGATTTATTTAATGCCATCATGGACATGGAAGGGCACCTAATTTAATCAGAGGTGTTGACTAATTTAGATGTTGCTAATTCTCTTGTTGCCTAACTATTCACATAGTATACTTGATCCTCAAGCCATAATAAGTCATCAAAGTAGACGTGATACTTAGGCTTGTACTTAGTCCTTTGGCTTATTAGTAGTAAACAGAAGTACTGTCTGTGCCAGCCTTTCCTCTAACACTGCTCTATCTCATTGCAAAGGCACTTTCAATGTTTCTTTTAATCACGTGGCTCAGTTTTGTAAATTCTTCAGTAAATACAGATATTGTGAACAAGTAAATGAGTATATTGTAGATGTAAGTGATCTGGATCCATGAAAATTATCAGCTATTCCTCTCCCTGCTCCTTTACACTATTGTCTACAAACTATCTCCATAGAAGTGAACTCAATTCGTTATGTGCCCTTCTGAGTTTTTTTTTTTTTTCCAGTGCATTTATATGTGTATATGTGACTTTATACATCTTTGGGTCAAATCTGAAGCTTTTCGTATTAGTATGAATTGATATTTTCATTTTATTACTATTTTAGGTGGGTTTTTTTTTGTTGTTTTTTGTTGTTTTTCTGTTGTTTTTTGGCCTTTTTGAGACAGGGTCTCCCTGTAGCCACAGCTGGCCTAGATTCACTATGTAGACCAGGCTGGCCTCGAACTCACAGAGCTCTGCCTGCCTCTGCCTCCCGAATAGTAAGATTTAAAGGTGTACACCACCACGCCCCATGAAGTTTTTTGTTTTTAGTACATTTTCTAGTGAGAACAGCTGGTATTTGCAGTTGGTTTTGCATGTTTTTTACCCTGTGTCTGATTACATTTCATGGCTTTCCAAGGAACTCACTTTGTCTAGTTAGCTTCATAATCTAAACCTTGTGGCACTTTGTTTTCTCATCTTACACTTATTGCTAATTTTTAATTTCTTTTTAGCCTTGGCTGGCCTAGAACTTGCTATATAGACCAAACTAGGCCAGATAGCCTGGAACTAACAGAGATCCACCTGCCTCTGCCTCTGGAGTGCTGGGATTAAAGACCACTCCTGCCTGAACTAATCTCTTTTTCTTGCCTTATTATACTGGTAGGATTTGCAGACAATGTTGACTATTAATGGTTGTATTCAACATCTTTATTGCTTCTTTCAGTGGAAATGATTCTTATATAATAAAATGAGCAAAGATTGTTTTCTAATCTTGACTTAAAACATTCAGGAATGGTTAGTTAGACAGAGTGTCATGCACCTATAATCCCATCTATTTAGGAGGCTCACATAGGAGGATAATTTGAGCCTAGAAGTTTTAAGAGGAGCCTTGGCCACATAGTGTCACCCTGTCTTCACACTCCATCCCCAGATTTTCCTTTCAAAATCAGTTATAAGTATTGAAGTTTATTAAGTGCTTTTCTAACATTTATTGAAGGGAAATAATCTGCTCTTTAGTAAATAATCTGTTAACATGTAATGAATTTTAGTTATATATTTTCTGATCTAATTAGATCTTTTCCATTTAGGCACAAATTCAATATTTTTCAGTGTAGTGCTTGATTTGATTTGTTTAGACATAACAGAATTTAGGGCCTTTTATAATTATCAGTGCCACTTGGCAACAACAACAACAACAAAAATCACCTACTTATTAGTGACTTTTCTGATCAGTGATAAAATGTCATGACCAAAAGCAACTTAGGGAAGAAAGGGCCTGTTTTGGCTTAGGGTTCCAGAGGGATAGAGTCCCTAATGGTGTGGAAGGCATGGTGGCAGGAGCAGGAAACTGATCACAATTTCATCTACACCCAGGAAGCGGAGAGAGAACAGGAAGTGGAATGGGGCTACATAAGGAAGTGGAATGGGGCTACATAAACCCTGAAAGTGTGCCCCAAGTGACATACATCCCCCAGCAAGGGTCTACTTTCTAAAGGTTCCATAACCTCCCAAAATAGCACCACCAACTGGAAACCAAGTGTTCAAATTCATGAGCCTATGGGGAAACAGTTCATATTCAACCTACAACATTTAGATTTTTTGCCTTTCAGAGAGCAACTAATAAAAATTCTCAGTGCCAGAAATTTCATGGGTACTTCTTACAAATTTATAACGCTATTAAGAGTTGATAGATATTTGGGGCTGGAGAGATGGCTCAGTGGTTAAGAGCATTGAATGCTCTTGCAGA